TCCAAAAGAACACCATTGGAATTAAACATGAGAGTGGAAACACAAAACAAATTTAGGCCGATGTCAGACTTTGCGAATCGAGCGATTCGCTAGCGTCTGCGGTCGCGTCGCGGCCAGTGAATCACTCAATTGGCTGGTACCGCAACGCGACCGCGGACGCTAGCGAATCGCGCGATTCGCAAAGTCTGACATCGGCCTAATAATGATGCACAAACTCATTTGAAAGGCAAAAGAAAATGGCGAAAGAATGGTACGATCCTAGGCAGTACTATGTAGTGCCCCCAAACAAGAACCCCGCGCTTCAATGAAAAGCGATGCAAAACTCCCGCACTCCTCTGTGTACTGTGAGCGGGATCTCCTTTATTTCACGTGTTCATTATCAAATTCCCACCTATACGAACATCGCTTCCACACTTGTTGGCCCCTCACACTGAGGTTTTTCCCTCGTTTTTTGCTGTAACCCGGCCCAAAAGAGTCACACCTGCTGAAAGTTCTCTCAGTCGAATTTCCGTTTCTATAGACCTGTTAAGTGGATCAAGAAAAATTACAGCCTCGTGCAAATGATGACAATTTATTATGCATAATGATGAATCAATATCACATTTCAAGGCATTTCTATGAAGATCAGACGGAGACTAAATTGAAAAGATTCTCAATATAAAAGACATCACATATGTAGAAAGTTGCTTTCACCACTGTCCAATCTCACACATTGTTGAAATTACTCCATTGACTTGGATATTGAAGAGGTTGTTGTGGATACAAAAAGGGAGTGTACGATGACGAGATCGGCTGTTGAACCTGGAAGGGTGATTATTTCTTTTTAGTGATATCCCCTCTATATGTAAAGGAGAAATTTGGTGTTTGTCTGTCTGTCTGTTTGTAACCACTAGGCTCGCACGCTACGTAGACCCGAGAAAACAGTTATGGCATGAACCCAGATGGGTGGGGCATGGTCCCGAATGGGCAGGAAGTTAGGGCGTGTACGGTTGGCTTGAAGCGGATACGGAGCCGTACCATGTCGGGCAGGGCATGGTTTCTTCATAAAGACGTTAGGCAGTCCAGCTTTCAAATGAATCCTTTTGTGGGAGATGGCGCCTGTTTGCAAACAATGCATCATTTGAGAATTGCACTACGGTTTCATATGCGTTTATAGTGGTTTATGTAACTCATGGAGTCAGCCTATGTTCATAGCTATGATTTTATCCTCCCAAGCTAGTCTCACACCAACCAACCATTCCCAAGGCGGTGAGCGATGTTGCAGCGGTAGGCGAACGCAATAATGGGCTTCACTTCGGGACCATGCGCATAGTAAAAGACACTGAATAACTGCTCCAAAATGTCCATTTTACCAACGAAACCTGCAAAAATTGCTTTGGAGAACCAAACACTTCAACAGGGGGCCGTTCTTTATCCCTATCCAGACCGCCTGACACCCATGGGGTGTCAGGCTCCAATTTGCTCTCTGTGGCCGCCTGACACCCATGGGATGTCAGGGACTTCAAGAGGTGATTTTTCTGTTTTTTGCGAAGGATGTTTATGTTATTAATTATCTATGTAACATACTCATATCGTACGTATGAGAAAAACCTAAACTTCAATCTCAAACTTGCTCCTAAAACATCTAGAAACTAAATGTACTTCCACTTTTTGAGTTCAAAGAAAACAGTTATAATTTATTTGAAAACACTTCATACAAAATATTCTATGACATCAAGTGCACGCCTTATCTGATGCTATTATATGCAAACGTTTCCGACACTTTCTGGTGCCTTTTTTCCCATTACAACTTGTTTTGAACAATTCTCATTCCTACTCCCTTTTTCTTTTATTACACGACGGTTTTCTGTCATATTCACACATATGTACCTTTAAATCGCAAATACAAGAACGAGGCAAAATTGGTTTTAATGGAAATACAGGTGAAATATTAGGTATTATGCTCGCCGCCAGCCGCGGCGATTGGAGCCATAAAAGGCGTGCGGCCACACTAGCCCGCCAAGCCGGAAAAGTGCGCGGTCCGGAAAGGGTTTAAAAAAAATCACTCAAGGAGGCCGTCTACGCAATGGACTCGCAATTGCTGCTTCTTCTTCGTTTCTTCTGCCTTCCTATTTGTCACCCCCTGCTGATACGACGTTCTTCGAGTGTGTGAATTTCAATACAAAGCTTTCGAGGTGCCTCGTTCATGTTAGGACAATTTAGGTTTCTTTTTTCTGAAAATGCAATATAATTTCGTCCATGTCCATGCGTGCTTACTACTGGGCGGGCCTTTGCCACAGCTAATTTATGCTCTCGTGCGGGTTCTTCCCAGGTACATATTTCCAGCAGGTATTCCTTCGGCGGCAGTCCTTAGCCTGTTGACTTCCACATCATGTTCGATCTGGCATCGCATGGGACTAAGCTGGGCAATTTTCTTTATTATTCCTTGCCTGCCTGATTCATGGAATCGTATTTCCACGTCATTTCCTATTCTGAATTATTTATTTTTCGACTCCAACTCTTTAAGAGGCGTCGATAGCGTCGAAACGTGCCCTCCTACCACGACACTAGCGGGGTCACCCTTGGAAACGACTCTACTCCCATCACCCTCTCACTCCGACTTCAGTTCCAGCTTTCTCATCGATCTGATGGAGCCCAATCACCACTCTCCAACTCGGGCCATTTTTATCCTCAAGGGACCAAGCTGAGGGGGGGAATGGAAGTTAGATATGGCTCAAGGAAACACTCTAATCCCTGAAACAGTATACGTCGGTCTGCGCCCTCGTCGCGTACGATGTGTATCGGCGTTTTCTGTCCTCCCAGCGCTGGGGTGTCTGTCGTCTACCTACGGAGGGCAAAATCACAATAAACGCTTTCAAATTCCTAGCGGCGCCCTTCGCTTTCCTCTCAGTAACGTTCCTTATTGCTCTTAGTTTGTCTAATGTTGCGAACAGTAATCAAAACACACAATACGGATCTCAACTCGTCTCTTCAGTCTAGAAACAGAAAAGAAAAAACTTACCAGTTGGATATTACTCGGATACGAAGTGGTTGGTATAGAGGGATTCGAATATGTCCGCGCACGTTCCATACTACCCATGTTGCTTAGGTCCGCATAGCTGTAGCGTGAAGGTGAGAAAGGTCGGTGGTGGATATTCGGCACAGACGATGGGAGCAGAAGAGCTTCCGACCGATTGATGCATGCCCTCAATAGGTGGTGCGAACACGTTCGACGTCGAAGGACTGTTTTGTGACGTTGGAGAGTTCTGCTCCGCCTGAAAATGAATGTACACGGCCATAAAAATTATATGGGAACTTTGGTGAAATATTGTGCACCATAGCAGTGCCATGATATGCACAGCACAAAATGTGTGTGGATGATTCCGTACGGAATGCTCAACTACTGCTCGCGTTGCACGCCCCCTTCTATTCGGAAAGACGAGAAGAGCGTCGAGTGCAGACCACACACCACAAGTGACGACGGCCAAGAAGAACGTGGCTTCTCTTTCCTTTTTTTGGCCGTCGTCACTTGTGGTGTGTGGTCTGCACTCGACGCTCTTCTCGTCATCCGAAATAGAGCTCAAACCATGGGTGGATGGTCTGTTCCACCAGAAGATTTTTTTCGATTTCCTCGTCATATTAAATAAGGCAAGGTCCGGGCTCAGCCTTTCTGCGACGCAGCGCTTCGTGGATAGCATCTATTGGCCGCCACGGGTGGTCGCGCCGCGTTAGCGATATCGCGAACGATTTTGGATAGCTAAGCGCCTCAGGGCATCGATCCAAATCCCTCCAATGTACAGGTCCGACAAATGTTCAATATCTTATCAGCGACATGTTGATATACTATGCTCTTTCTACTCGCACTTCTCCTACCCTCTATGCGACCCCCATTTCTCTCATCTCCGTGGCTGCCTCTTATGGTTAGACTTCTCCGTAGCGTGGAGCAAGGGGCGTATTTCCTGTCTCTTTCATGATTTTTCTACCTTTTTTCTCCACTTGCAGTAAACCTCATTTGAATGGGATTACCACATTAATTTAATGCTGGTCCTTGCCTTTAACCCATTCGTGACAATGGCAGCCACCGGTGGCTGCCAAAGATCTCACTTGGACAATGGTATCCACCGGTGGCTGCCGTGTTTCAAATGGAATTTGGAAAGTTTTCTTTCCTGAAAAGAATCTTCATACCCTCATTCATCTACGCCAGCCCTGGGCAGAGGAAATCTCCATCCACTCAAATTTTATTGAAGAAAAATCTCCTGACTCTCCTGCTATTGCGCAATCCGGCGCTGGTCCGAACGGGCAGAACCTTGAAAACCTCGTGCGGTCGCGAACGGGTTAAAGCAGTCGAGTTTGCCGTACCGTATGGTACATGGCATTTTCCAGATATATCAGAAATCAAAAGCAAACGTTTAAAAGATTCTCAAGCTGCTCACCCCCACACTTCTCAGATCGTCGAACATCTCGGTTAGCGTGTAGTTTCCAGGAGCCTGTAGCAATTTGAACGACTGCGGCTCGTCTTCCACGGGATTCGTCATTGAGTATGTGCGCTTCTGAAGAAAAATTGAGGCACCAATTGAAAAAACGGTTACTGACTCGATGTTATGGTTCAGCATGTCAACCACGTGTACACGGCAAAAAAATATTAGGAATCCTCACCGTTCTCCTCCTTGGAGCAAAAGCTGCTCTTTCGGTTTGGGTTTGCTTGTCACAAAATCCACCAGCCAACTGTTCTTTTGTTAGGGATAAGCCCTCCATCTCTGCTGCATTCTCTTCTTCTGAAAACGGCTCCACCGGAAAACATCTGAACTAATTTCGAGTAAGCAGCGTCAGAACATATCGGTTTTTTGATGAAACTGAAGTTCTGCCCAATAGCTCAGATGACTTGCAGCCGCTTAACTAACTACAGAAAGCATGCATTTTCAGGCCTTTGGGGCACGGTATTTCGTGAACTCGCGTTTACGTAATAGCTGAAACACGTACCCCTCAAGCCGACGATTGTTGGGTTTGAATGACGATCCACTAAAATTAAAGGGTAGGAATGTTGCTTGGTTGATAATTCAACAAAGTTAAGCGAACTCAACAGGACAAAGCATTGGGTAGACAAGGCATTTGCTGGTTAATCGCCACAAAAATGTAAATCTTTCAAAGCAACAGTCCCAGCAGGGTTTTTACCTTCAACACTAATGGTGTGGAACGATGCGCTAGCCCCTAGTCAAGAACATAAGAAGTGTGACTGAACAAAAAAACTCATCTTGGAAAGCCGCTGGAAAGGGAGCTGAACGGCTCGAAGTGGGCGTGGTTGTTCTGTCGACTGCATACCCTCGGCCCTCTTCCAACCACGCCCACCTCGAAGCTGTTCAGCTCCCTTTCCAAGGTGAGTTTTTTCTTCAGTCGCACTTCTTATGCTCTTGACTAGGGCCGGCGCATCGATCCACGCCATTAATGTCGAAGGTAAAAAGCCCCCTGCGACTGTTGCTTCAAAGCCTGATTAACGATGAATGCAAGGCGTCGGCCTTGTGACGTCATTGATCGTGAAAAGAGCCCTTAGCTCTTTTGTAGTGCGACCTATCCGCGGTTGTGTTAGCTAAATGTTTCACGCAATACAGAACCACACCGGCCGCCCCTCCCTCCCCATATTGCGTCATAATCACTGCCTTTTCAGTGAAGTGATGCCAGCATACACAGCACACGTGAATGTTAAATAGAAAACCCTGACGGAAAAACACAAATGCACTCCCATTCCCCCCTACCCTCGTGAGTTATACTTTCATAAGAATGCATTGCTGTGGTTAGTAAAGGTAATGAGAAGCGATATATGGCTAGCAGCTACCGTCGATAAATCCACAACTTACCCAAAGAGGTCGGTAAGCAATGGAATTTCGCCTGCATTAGAGAACACTTGAATAGATTGCAGATATTTCCACATGCATTGGCTAGCAATCTGAAAAGGGCAATATCGTCTCTATGATGATCGATACTTTTGTATCCAAGCGCAACGCATATAGTGCATATGTAAGGAAATTTCGTTTCCATTCCTTAAATAAAAGTTAAACGTAAAATCAAAAGATAACAATAGAATGCCGTTCTATCTGAATCTATTAATCTTTGCTGTCAACACAGCCACATGATGTCTTCGTACAGTGGGATAATCCCTCGAGACTCGAGGGCTCCCCACACCATACACTGGCCAAAAAGTCACTTTACCCATGGCGCACATGATCAAATTTCGCGGAGGGCGCCGCGATTTATGGAAGTCTAACAGCAAAATATCCTCTACAAGCAAAGTTTCGATGAAAAATAAAAATTTGAGATTTTTGAGCAGTAATATGTGGAATATGCCCAAACACTTGTAGTGGTCATGCATATATTGAGATAGCTAATCTTACGAAGCCGTAACGAACTATTGAGGGCGTTTTTGTCATTAGTACGTCACTTCAGTGAGTAAGCCGCTTACATGTTGGTCAAGTTCTATCGTGGAGGAGGGAAAGGATTATGAAAGGGAGGCGATACGTTGAGTACCTGATTACCCGCGCCAGCGGTTCATACAATGCCCTATTTGGAATGCCCCTCCCCTGAATTCCAGAGCGCCCCTTCGAGACTTACGAATATCGTAGATTACTGTACTGACCGTAACTGTAGGCAGTGATAGAAGAATATGTCCGAAGCAAATCGCCGGATGCTGACTGATACGTGCTTCCTTGAACAATCATATACATGTATCCCTCGATTCTTGTCTTCGCATTTCTTAAGAATCTTCTCGCGCCCCGTTACAGATCCGAGCCACTTGTCAAAATAATAAAACATTGTATGAAATTACAAAATTGAAACTACTACCAGCTGCGAAGAAAAAAGCAAGTCACACAAAAAATTAAACGATGGAAAGAAGTGGATGCTCAACATTGGATCAACTAACGATCATGAGCGCTGACGCAAACATTTCCTCTTCACGCATTCCATACGTCCGGTACGGTCGAACAAGCTCGTCGAGGGCTCTGTCGACAAGACCGTTTCCAAGGTGGCTGAAACCAACCTGATATCAGTTCTCTCTTCGGACTGAAAGATTTACAAAATTGGACTGAATGATTCTGAAAGAGGCACCGGTCTGCTTGGAGGTGGACAGAACTCTCACACTTTGTGTACTAACCTTTTACTCTCCCCATTGACGAGGCTTGCTTAGGCCGATGTTATAGTTTGTGAATCGAGCGATTCGCTAGCGATCACTGGATCCGACGTTGCACCAGCGAATCGAACTATGTACCAGCGAGTCGAACGATGTACCAGCGACTCAATAGTGGCGGGACCCAACGTTCAAAGGAAGCCCGCTACTTTCGAACAGTGTCACGTGACAGTGGACCTTTTTGAAAGTGGCGGGACTTGACAGTGGACACTGTTTGAAAGTGGCGGGCTTCCTTTGAACGTTGGGTCCCGCCACTATTGAGTCGCTGGTACATCGTTCGACTCGCTGGTGCAAAGTTCGATTCGCTGGTGCAACGTTCGATTCGCTGGCGCAACGCTCGAATCCAGCGATTCGCTCGATTCAACTATGACGTCGGCCTGACGTGGAGAACTCTCGTCTGCCTCTTAGCGAGCGCGACTGCTCCCTTCGAAGGGATCCTTCACGGAAAAATTCTACTTCAGCATTGAACTCTTTGCTTGGGATCAGCATATCCATGAAGAATGAAAAACAGAAATATTTGCTTTTGTTTTGGTAAAAAAAATTCGAAAAATCGAAAGGGCTGCTACGCGTTCAAAGTGCCCACGGACGTCTTTCACAAATGCTGGCGACGGGGATGCTTCCACTTGGTTCTTGGAGTGCCTTCACTAGAAACTCTTTCTGGCTATTGCTTTATTGCATTCACATCGCTAACAACTTGGTTCTCACATCGCTATTTCACTATCGATCGATTTGTCTTCTACTCTCCCAAATCGCTCGCGCTTCTGACCTGACTTCTTCAGTTGCGTCGCCGTGACTATGTAGCCAAGACCAATTTTTCCAGCCTCCCCGAATATTTCGATTGTCCATAAGACGTGTTTTTTCGCGAAAAGGTATTCCGTTTAAGAATGAGTGAATGGTACTGCTCAACCCTATCACACAAATTCGTCACATTAAAGGAGGAATTCACGATTAGAATGAAGGTCGAAGAAAGGGAAACTGACCTAGTTGAGGGACCCACGGACCTCCTGAGGGTGCGAACTGACGCGCAATTCGCATGGAAAAATTTGACCTCGGCGACCTATCATGCCTCAAAGCTGGCGGGTCCGGCGATCTCCGCCCACCGATCATCTGATCACTCGCCGTAGTTCAATACGTGGCGAGTGATTAGATAGCTGAGAGAGCGTAGTGTTGAAGAGGGCACAGCGATGAGAGTCGCATCAATGCTCGAATCAACGGGCAAGGAAGGGGTACCATTTCTTTCGGGTTCTGGGCCGTTCTCATACTACGACTTCGTTTACTCGTGTACCGACTCCTACCATGCCGTATGTAGTGTTAATATAAAGGGTTGCTTTTTCTCATGTGAATTTCTTTAAATGAGTGTTTCTTTTCAGCATGGTTGACTTGAAATTCATTAACTCTTGTAACTGATTGAGATGAAAGATAACAAAAGAAACGTCTACTTCTTCGGCTCCTTCGTAGCACTAATTTTCCTTCATTCAAACCAGTGCCTCCGCCCCTCCCATATCTGATATATACTTCTTTTGTCTTTAGAATCTTTGAGTCTCAAGAATTTAAGATGTTTGTGAAAAGGGAAATTTCTAACCAACTCTTAGCACCTTTTTTTCGAGAGCAAAGTAAAGGAAGTAAACTATTAAATGAACATAATGAAAATTGAAAAGCGAATCCAAATCAAAGAAACTTACTAACTGTCGGAAAATGCCTGCGAGATGTTTCTTGGCACATAGGCGAAATTGCAAAGGCACAGGATGTTTTCGTCTTTGGCCACTTCAGCTGTCCTAGAGGCGAATTTGAATACCATCAGCGGGGCGGAACGCGAACGCGTTCTTCACCAGAGCAATCTGCGACAACTCTATGTTTTCATTGAAGCTTCAAGTAGCTTTTTTTCGAAAAAAAAATAAATAAATTCTTAAGAAGAAAAAGTCCCAAGCCATTGCGACTTCCTGATAGCATTGCTTTATCCCACTTGCCGGTCAGCGAAAATCCACTTTTATATGGAAGAGCAACATAAGCGTGTCAAGACAGCGCTGTGTGACCGAACGCTAAAGGTCAGGTCCAGGACTGAATGCGGTATATATTTTTGAAAATCAGGCAAAAGTGTGGAAGAAGCTGCGAGAGAAAAAAGAAGGCGGACAGAAGGCAAAGCATCATTGAAGCTTGTTACTGCACCTGTTTTCGAACTCGCCCGACGCAGCCACCACCTCCGTATTTAGGTCAGGCTACTTATCCCAAGGAGGTCTGAGAATTTTATCCTATTCTGAGGACGACCTGTGCCTTTGGATAGCAGCATCTCTTCTTTGATAGATGCCCACGAAATGAACACCAAAAAATGTTCTCCGTATTTTTCCAGTTCTTTCTTATCTTATTTTATGCTCACTTTTAATCAATTTCTGCCTGCAGTCTTCACAACGCAACTCTCTGCGCGGTCTACGAAGTTTACATACAGTAGTGGCCAGAAATTTATGAACAAACGGTTTTTTCATGATTTCTCTTTTGAAAGTCACTGGAACGTCTCCAAATTTGCAACAATTATTAACTACGTGTTTTATGATCCACACAGAAAATTTCAACCTTCAGCTCAAATTTGGGTTTAGAAAATTTTAGATTTTTCGAAATTAATGAAGGCAGGTGAAAGATCACTTGATCCGTTTATTTGATTTAAATAATGTATAACCCAACAGAACAGTCAAGTAAACAGTCACTAACATTAAGCAAGTCTAGCACATTGCCCAGAACTCTCTAAAGTATTGGATACATAAACTGGATTTGAATGCGGGGTCAACTAATGAACTCACTCTCTTTGGGGTCTCTCTCTGTAGTCCCGTCTTTTCGTGGCTCTTTCACTTGACATACGAATTTGTAGGTCCTCCCCTAGTGGTTCTGTAATGTTTGGCTCAAGATGGTTTCTTATACGAAGTTATACCTGGCTGGTCTTTTAAAAGCACCCCATGCTGTCGAAACCACTCCTGCATGTGAGAGGCCCGATGCTTTGAGTCGCTGCTCTGCTGACAGACAAAGCCAGGTCGTGTGGCAGCCATGTCTACGGATACATGACACCTTCCAAAACATGACAGCAAACGTCTGCCTTCATCGCTACCTCAGTCGTGTAGCGTGGTCCCACTTTTTTTCCAAGGCAACCTTATCAAGCCTCCGCCAAGTTTCACAATTGGCAGCTGATTCTTTGGATCAAAACGTTCCCTCTCGTGGTGCCGTACATTACTAGTATCCTTGCTGTCATGCATCAGTAATATGTTTTTGTCATTCCAGATGACCTTAGAAACCTGTATCAACCTTCGTTTCAGGCTTAGTCAATCACATTCTACTCCCACCCACTTCACAGCGAGCGCTCTTCTTAGACTTTGAGAACTAAGGAATACGTAGTATAGACTTAGATTCTAGAAGATGTTATGTATCCGTAGACATGGCTGCCACACGACCTGGCTTTGTCTGTCAGCAGAGCAGCGACTCAAAGCATCGGGCCTCTCACATGCAGGAGTGGTTTCGACAGCATGGGGTGCTTTTAAAAGACCAGCCAGGCCAGACTCTTGACCAAACAACTTACAGAAACTGGGGAGGACCTACAAATTCGTATGTCATTGAAAGAGCCAGATGCGAGACTACAGAGAGAGACCCCACTAGAGAGTGAGTTCATTAATTGACCCCGCATTCAAATCCAGTTTATGTATCCAATACTTTAGAGAGTTCTGGGCAATGTGCTAGACTTGCTTAATGTTAGTGACTGTTTACTTGAC